TTTAATCACTAAAGCAATTAGCTTCACTTTGGTCATGGCCTAGGACTAGTCTCCTAATTTTTTTCCCACTATTTTGCAAAAGTTTCCCTGTGTTACCAGAGATGACTGAGGAAAACAAAATTCCCAGATAGTGTTACTCAGTGAGTTCCTGGAAATAGTCACTTTCAGGGATGGAGAGTATCATACTTTTTTTGCCATTATGACATGCCTAGGGATGGCAGGACCAATGAAGGGAAATGAAGACCATTAGACTGATTTCAACACCTCATGGCTTCCACCTATGGGGTTTACAATTCAAGTTAGTGCACCTAGGGAGTTTTTTGACTGTTTCTTCTCCTTAAAGTTTTATGTGGGCTTTAAACTGGACATGTTAGATCATTGTGGTGACAGTTCAAAAGCACCCTGGGAAAATCCCAATGAAATAAAAATCTTGGAAATAAAAATGATGTGGTTAGAGTAAGGCTGGGAAGCATCAAGAATACCATGCAAAGGGGAGTAAAGGATTCTTCATGCAAAGCCCATGATGTTGCCTCTTTCCCTAATGTTTGAGATGATGATCCAAATACAATAAAGAGACCCCTGAGTTAGGAGCCAGAAGAGTGGGAGGAGCGCTGCCACTGATCCACAGTGGAATCAGTGGCTCTCCTCACCCAGGACAGGTACCAAGTTTTGCCATGTGCTCCCTCTTCCTCCTCAATATGTTCCTAGCAGGTGTGGTTGGAACACCAAAATCAACTTTTGCCTTAAACCTTACTCATGTCTGCTCAGCCACTTTGTGGATGACAAACACTATGACAGACAACTAGCTTACAAAGTACAATATTTCACTAAAAAATGTGCTTTTCTGTTCTTTCTCAGTGTACCTTAGTGCAAAATAAGAGAAAAATCACTTAATGATAACGAAAGAGTTAAATAGTAAAACCTTATATAAAGATTTCACATAACTGTTAACTCAAAATGAAATGTGTCTCTCCCTACCAAGCAGATATGTATGTAGAATGTCCTGAAAAAAGCTTGAATAGCAGGTCTACTTTTGAAAAGCATTTTTATATGTGTGTGTTTGTGCTTTTTTTCCCTTTAGGAGGTTCAACTATTTGGAATTTGTGAAAGCAGTGATGAAAAATATGACAACCAAACTCTGCAAACTATATGGCTTAATAAGTGTGTGGGTGAGGGATAGGAAGAGAGGTTAAGAAAGGCCCAAGAACAGTGTATGGGGGTAATTCAATTACACTTTGTATCTTTTGGTGAAAACCTTTCCAAACTGCATGAGAGACATGAAACAGTACTCAGTTATCCTCGAAATATTCTGAAAGTTTTGAGTTCCCCTGCACCTTCTTCCACTAACTAACCACCTCTGTAGGACCAGGGAAACTTTTTATTTATTTGGCCTACTTGTGACCTCTACAACAACTGAAGACTACATGTGTCCAAGCCTATAGGTTAAAGGGAAATGAGTAACAGAGATATATACTGTCTCAAATTACCCATTGCAGGCTGGTGTTGCAAGGTGGTTTTGTTGGATTGTAGCTATGGGGGATTTCAAAGGAAGCCAGGGCATTGGTGGACAAAGTGTCAAGGCTTTATATAAGAAACAATTCAATGGCCTGCTTCCTATCTCCCTGTACATCTTAGAGAAGACTTTGCTTGTAGCCTCTCAGTGCAGCTCCTCTAACTGAATGAGCTTTCTGCAGAGAAGAGACATGTGTGACCCTCAGGATTGAAGAAAATCACCCAGGGCCCAGAGGCGAGACCTCACTTAGACGTACAACAATGTTTAGTCAGTTATTTACTCAAAGATATGCTTCATGTAGTTCTCAGATATCTTCCTAAGTATAGTTAAATGGCTCATCAGGACAAAAAGATTTTTAGGAGGAGGTGGAGGAAAACAAAGACCCCTCAAGAACATCTGGACAAGCAATGGCAGGTAATAGATCATAACTACGTCAAAAAAGAACGGAGAAAAGAGGAGGAGGGAAGCAGAAGTGGAGGTTGTGTTTCCTACAGCAAAGAGAATTCCTCAGCTTTCACTTAGGTCTGATTGATGGAAAAGAGGTCTTTCAGGATCCCCCAACTAGAAGTGAAACAAGAATGGAGAGAATTGAGCCTTGCAAATGAGCTTTAGAGATGGGGACATTTATTTTTGCTGTCACTAAGATTCAATCCATCTCCCTCTGCAGAGACATATCTGTATCAATATATATTTGCTTTAAGGAGGAGAAACAAAACAGTTTTTTGAAGGTGAAAGTAATAAACAAGGAAAAATTATAAATACATGTGTTCCAGAATTGTATCTGTTTCTTTAAGTCTCTCGCAAGGACGTTACAAAATTAATTATGCATGACCTTTGCTCTCCATTCTATAACACTGAATGCACATCCTTATTACACCAATATATGCCTATTACAGTCAAACGTGCTAGACTTTGAGCTCCCAAGGGCAAGGACAAAGTGTAATTTATATTTGTACACCCAATGTCTAGCACAGCCCCTGGGGGTACTGGGTATTCCATAAATACTTCATAAATGAGTAAAGAAAGAAGATAACAATCCAATTCTTTTACTTTGGTCCTGTCCCTATTTCCTTGGGATGGGTCTGAAAAAAAGGTGGAAGTCAGGTTAGAACTATATTTTTACTAAAGAGAATAAAACCTGTTTTAAAATGTCACCCTCAGGGTCCTTAAGATAAATCTCATATGCAGTAGAGAGTGAATAGAAGAGGCTAAGCTATTCATAAAAATATATCTAGAGAAGTGACAAATCTCTAATTCTCCCTATGGATTCTCTTAGAAACCATGGCAGTCTAACCTATCCACAGGATGAATGATGCAGTGGCTGTTAAATGCATCTTAGAGTAAGCAGATGTACTGTTGCTTGCACAAATAGATTTGTTTTGGTGGAAGGATATCAATGAAACAGCCCCTTTAGGATGTGAAACTGCACAGATATTGTTGGTTTTACTGTAAAGTGACCACAGTCCATTAAATCTTTGTGTAAATAGCAGTTACCAAAGACTGAGTGTTAAAGTGTGGGATTATGGTAGTCTATTTGGCCAGAGCAAGCATTCAGAAATCTTGGTCACTGAAGCTGGAAAAAGTGGTTAAGGAGGGGTTGGAAGGTTTTCAAAGATTATTTGTTTTAGATTATAATTGTTCAAGGATTGAAACACTCATGCACTTGAAAAACTGCACAAAAATACATGGACGATGGTACCACTAAGGAAAAGACAGGCAGAGTTAGCATGTATTTTTAACTGAAAATTGTGTTTTCTTTGGAGAGAGCAGCTCACTTGCTTTCATATACCTCTAGTGAAAGTCAGAGTGTTTGGTGAGTTTATGAAATAATCCAACCCTGTAAAAATAATTCTGATGCAGCCCTGAGATTCTCTCCTAAGAGTGACATGCAGGTTGCACTGTCTACATATGCAGGGAGGTGTGCTGGCAGGTTCTCTGGTAAAGATGCGGCCAGGATGGAGTTTTACAGATTCTTCTCCCTGTAGAACTACCTACGAGCATATATAAGTAGACAAGAAAAGCAAATACCTAAGTTGGCCTTTCTAATCCTCCATTTCTTTTATCAACACTACATCAGCAAAATACAGTCCTTGTCTTACAAACACTTGAATAATGGGAAGTTCCATCTTTGTTACTCACACCTTCTTTTCCCTGGCCATTTCATTATTGGAGGTGCTTCAAGTTAAACCTACTACACTTCATAGTGACGTTTATCTCAGGGGACAAAGGACTATGTTGCCAAGCAGATGGCTGACTTATATACTTTTTTTAAAAGAAATAGAAAATTCCAAAGGGAAAACTGGAAATAGGGGAGGACAGAGCTGGAGAAACCAGTATTTAAAGATCTTTCCTCCTTTTAATAGACCATCCATCTTTAAAGCTGGAAGCAAAAAAATAGTTGCCTTTGTCAGAATCATTTTAAAACAAATTTACTAGCAAAAAGATATAATGGAAATGATGGAATGATTAAGTAAGAATTCAGAGAAAATGCTAAGGAGCGAACGTGTAACTAGAACAACATTTTAAAGTTGAGAAATATGATAACCAATTAAATACTTACACCACATGCTCTGAAGTTAGAGCCTGAAATGGACCTGAAACGGGTGAAGCTAATGAGCTCCTCAGTGTGACCCTCTTCATGCAGGACTGTGTCAAATACTCAGAGAAGACAGACACACTAAGAAAAAGAGGGAATGCTAACTGTGGAGGCTGGCCAACAGCAATGGGGTAATTGTTTTCCAAATCAAATATGTCTTGCAAAGAGGATTGGCAAGTACTTTACATATCTGTGAATCATTATGTTGGCATTCCCGGTGTCCTGGACCATTTAGATTTTTATCCCTTTATCTTTTTCTTCAAGACTGTCCAGAGGCGAAGAGTGAGGCATACTGCTATAGCAAAATCATCAGGATTCTTACACCACCCTGTGGATGAACTCAAGATGCTTTCTCAAAGGAGTGATTGTGTTTCTTCGATATTTTTGTTATCAAAATGGGCCAAGACCAGGACATTTGTCACCACCTCATTGGACAGTTTGTGCCTCTAAGATGTATGTGTGTGTGTGTGTGTGTGTGTGTGTGTGTGTGTGTGTGTGTGTGTCTTTATATACATAGGATGTGGCAGATTTGAAAATGTGATGTGCTATAGAACTTAGGGTCTCCTCTGAAGTTAAGCAGGGAGTATTCCCTGTAGCTAACCATAATGCCTCATATGTCAGTGCATCCTAAATCTCTTAGAAAATGGCTTGACTGACAAAGGTGGATCATTATGTCTGTTCTAAAACTTAAAACATGCATTTATTTTAATCACCAGATCTTTAGTGAATGGATGGAAGAGAATAATTCTGTTTGGTATTTCTCTTCATGAAATTTTCTTTCTTTTTCTTCCTTTCTTCCTTCCTTCCTTCCTTCCTTCCTTCCTTCCTTCCTTCCTTCCTTCCTTCCTTTCTTCCTTTCTTTCTTTCTTTCTTTCTTNTTCCTTCCTTCCTTCCTTCCTTCCTTCCTTCCTTCCTTCCTTCCTTCCTACCTTCCTTCTTTCTTTCTTCTGCTGAGTTAAGATGGCTTAAACTCTTTCATGGAAACAGGTACTATTTTAGACTTGTATTTGATTTTTTGTATATATATGTATACCTCAGTATAATAATCCCAGGAATTAGCTAGCTACCATTTCTTACAAAATTGGAAGCAGCATTTTTTGAAGTTATAGAACATCTACTTCCTAGCAGTACTTTTTACCCCCTAGTTTAAGCTACTATTTCCCATGCTTGTCCTAGATTTATGCTAGAGTGTGCTGTCTGAAGTATCAACCCCAGGAGAGAGTGGCAAGAAAGGAGCAAAGTAATAGCTCATACTATCAGGAATCCTATATTGGAAATTACTTGGGGTATAACAGTCAGAGTGAAAAAGGGTGCTGAGTTAGGGCAATGGGCTTCCTTTGGTAGCCCATTTATTATGGGAAGGAAAATAACCACAAAGCAAAGCTCTTTTGTTCCTTTTAAAGTGCCACTGAAGGAAACCGGGCCTGGCGCATCTTCCTTCTCTACCCTGAGTTCCCTGGTAGGAATGGACTTGAGATGGGGAGGATGTCCAAGATGACTGTTCTATGTCTAAGTCACAGAGCTCGGGTTCAAAGTAAGCCAGCAAGACTGAATGACTGCGGAACTGAGGAGTGCATCTTTGAAACCAGAAATGCAGAACTGAATATGTACACATGTCTCTTCCTTGTCTGGAGTAGTAAAGTCAGTCTACTAAGTGATCTTTATCACCACGATAGATTTGTTGAAGACAGTGGCCATAGCTGTCTGGTCTTCGGGGCTGGGTCAGGGGGATAAATGCTGTGGTGGAGGTGGGTATGCTCCAAAAATCAATGGCAAACAAATAAGAGAAGGGGAATGACCAGAATTAAGAGACAGGAGGAAGAGGAGAAGGAGAAAAATTTTAACAACACAACAGAAGAGTATTAGGTGACCCTGCAGTTTTTCAGATGAAATATTCCCGCTTACACTCGCTTACTGTGTTTTGCAAGTCAATGTCATTTCTAAAAGAACTGTCCAAATTTTCTGGATATTCTTTCTCCTTTATCTGGTTAGTATGATGTGACTGCTTATGCTGGTAAAGGAACCGGGTCATGATGCCGATGATGGAGAAGATGATGAATATCACAACTGCGATTACTCCTGTTGAGAAAGGGGGCAAATGAGAGAAAGACATTACCACAGATCGTCCACTCCAGGGAGATAATTCAGTCTAGACAAGGCAGCCACTTAGGAGTAAAAACAGAACAGAATAAAACAAGCAACAAACTCTGCCACATTTCCCAGAAATAAAGGCCAGCTGAAAAGCCTTCAATCTTCAGTTACAAAAAACCTCTTCCAGACTAGCTAGGGAGAGAGCCAGTTTAAATCAGAAGTTTTATTTAACGGACTAAGAATGCCATAAAATAAATATAAAATCAGACTAGTGGAGTATTTCTTATTAAACTTCTTCAATACCTGCTTTAAAGAATGTGTCAGTATCATTTGTAATTAGCACATTTCTTTGTCACCTTGCAAATAAGTATTTTAGAGCTACTTTAGCATCCTAGGAAATAATACTTAAATATCTCACATCCTAATAATACTCTCCTGATGTAGATGTGTTTATGGTATCCATTTGCTTTGCTAAAATGATAATGGAATGCTTACCAAACCTTTAGAGCATCCCTACACTGATTTGCACTCCGCTAGACACAGGCTGCCTCAGAGATGATGTGTCTTTGTCCTCCAGAAACTCAAAGCCAACTGAAATGCATGCTTCTGCCAATTGTGTCAGGCCCCCAATTGGATTGTGTGTGATTTTACTGGACCTGCTTGGCAAGCTGCCCTTGCTGACCCGAAGGTCTTGTCCCTAAATTTGCCAGGAAGGCTCTTGGGATGTGTAAAGCAAAGTCAGCAGAGAGATGTTGAAAATTTGGATACTGCCAGTTTTTAAAAGGGGGGATGCATCTACATATGGATGTAGGTTCCTCAAAATTCAAATATTTGAAAAGTATTTATGATATTCAAAGATAAGTAATTTCTTAATAAAGTATATATTTTGCTGCTTTTTAAAAATCTGAGTAAAATGGATATTATGAAAAAAAAAGTTACAAAGTTAATTTTGAATGCCCTGCATTATGATTTATATAAGATTGAACATTAGAGAGTTAAATATAGTGAATAAATGTCTTCGACCTATTTGTATTAGAGCTGTGGCCATGATTAAGATTGCTTACTTTTTAGAATAGTCCTAAAGCATTATGTGGTATTTTCCCCAACTATTTTAGAACAAGGCAGAATAAAAACACCTAAGTTAACAAACCTATGACTAAAGTGGTGGCGGTGAGTGATGCCCAGGAATGGGCTGTAGCCTTAAGAGATGAAGTGCAGAACTACTTTCTATTCCTTCAGTACATGCAGTATTCAGAGTTGGAGGCTGTCATTTCTAAACCCTGCAAACCTCCAAGAATCTTTCCCTGGGGTTAGGATGACTTTCCTGCTCTAAAAGACACTCACAGACACATGTACACAGGTGGGAAAAAATCAGCAGTCACAAGTCTTTTCTCCACTTGTCAAATGATAAATTAATTATAGGAAGAGAAACAGGCACCAAATCCTTTCCTATATTTCTTGATGCCAAACAAAAGTCAGGTTAGACTCTTTTCCCTGGAGCAGACATTCAGGTCAGACGTTTTAAGAACTTCCTAAAGAAAAGCTCAGGTTTTCTTTCTTTACAATCTCATTGTAACAGAGCATCTCTGTACTCCACAGCCATTTGTACTTCCCCCTGAAAACACCACTCACTGGTTCTCTTGTTGTCTGTTTACCTGGCATGTACCCCACCAGGTCATGAGTTCTTTGAGAGAGCAGTGCCCATGTCTTTCCTCCTCATGTTTCTATACTGAGCACAGGCCATGGCCCAAAGCTGGGGATCAGTAAATAGAAGTTAAATGAAGGGATCCTGACAACTTTTAGAAGGAGAGCTCCATCTGGTGTGGATCAGCTCATCTAACTGCCAGAAGGCAGGGACCGGGGTGTCTACCAGGACGGTGGTTCTCAGACGGAAATGGATTTAGTCTCAAACAGGCATATGACACAAAACAAAGTTTGGGAGGCGTTCTGTGTTGCAAGGACCAGATGGAACAGCAAAGGCTACTGGAGGCTGCAGCCAAGCTGAGGCAGAATCAAAATGGGTAAGGCCTACGGGCAGTTAGAAAATGGAAAAGCAAGGGAGGCAGGAGGGAGAGCTGAGCTCATAGCAGAGTGGATGAGATCTGCATCTGTAACCATATGTGCTGCTGGACTTGAAAGCACAGTCTGTGGGCTCTCCCCTGCTCATTAGATCCAACCCAAATCACTAGGTGGTGAAAACCCGACAGGATTGCTGCTTCACCCATCTGGTCGCCCCAGTGTGGCTCCTTCCCCATATGTAGTTTTATTGGTTTGCTTTGCTTGTGTTTTAGGAAAACTGACAACTGGATGAGGTGAACACAGTGCATACTGCCTGTCTCTAAGTGAATTATCCAGCTGTTGATTCATTCTTCAGCTGCCTGATGGACTGGGGTGGGATGTGTCCATGGAGCTACTGGTGCTGAAGGAGAGGGTGCTTTAGATCACACAGCACATGTAACTATTCATGAAAAGCCTCACAGTCTTGCAGATAAGTGGGGCTCTGGGTGCTGGATGGCCATAAGTAAGGGAACATTCAGATACATTTCTCCAAAGTACAAAACTTATATCTTTTCTGATTTCATCAACAAAGAATGATTTACCTCCAATGACGGCTGAATCACTTCGAACGGCATTGGTGAGTGGCTCCCGCTCATCTCTCTTCCCAAAGGGATCTGAAAGGAGTTAAAGACGTGAGACTTCTCTCCTCTCAAATTATTGGAAGGAAGTCTATATTACATAACTGAGATGACACACATAAGGACTAGACCAGGTGCTCTCAGATAGTTGTGAACTGGGACTTGGGAAGAACCCAAACAAATGTGCACAAAAAAGCATTTGAAGTACACTACTTATACCCCACAATTCCATGACCTGCTAGCTTCTCTGTAAGTTGTAAGGTAAGAGGTTGAAACAAATGATGGTGGTACCCTGCCCATGTCAGCTTTGGCTGAGAGCCTAACTCTCAGTCTACCTTAAAGTCCCTCTCTGCTTTCCTAGACAGACCCTATGCATGGCAGTGGCTTCTCACCTCACTCATACATACCCCTCTGATTCTGCTGCAAGAGGATTCTGAGTCCATTAACAGGGAAAGACAAAAGTGCTGGAAAATGAACACCCCCAAGAAGCCCTCACTAAGTAAGGAGAGAAGGCTTTTACTACACATACATTATCATACATGATATAAGCAAAAGAGCATCAAGCTTTAAGGCATAAAGATATGGGTTTGAGGCATTGCTCTGCCTCTTGGTCTAGTGACAATGAGGTAGATACATTTTTTAAATTATCTGCAGATGTATTAATAGGTGGTAATGATACCTATACATATTCATATAGTACACATAAATTTTCCAGGATCTATAGCACTTATCATTACTGTTGTATAATTTAATCCTCAGGAAATGACTACAACATGAGTACTATTTTTCCTGTTTCACAGATAACAACATTAGATTGAAGCCATTAAATAACTTGTTCAAAGTTCTACAGTTCATTCGTGGCAGATTCAGAATTCAAATCAAGGCTAGCCAGCTGTCATGTTCGGGTTCTTTCTATTATACCTCATTGCTGCAGGAAAACGCCAAGGACAGAGATGAACAGGCAGCAGCAAAACACAATCCCCTTTCTTTGCTCAGAATTAATAACTTATTTCACAATCAATTACCACAGCTATTTAAAACAAATCTCAGGAACATTTTAAGACACTCAGGATGATGGTGACTAAGACAAGACAGAAAAGTTATTTTAGGGAGATATGGATGATAGTGCTGAGACTTGCTTACAATTAAAAAAGGTGGCTTTTATTTTAATATGTTTTAAATTTTTATTAAATGTATTGGGATGACATTGGTTTGTAAAATGATACAGGCTGGATTTTAATCACATGACTTATAGTAGGTCAACAGCCAGCCTGCCACTCTCTGAGAACTGAACTCTTCAATCCTGGGAGAAGTGGTCACCTAAACAATAGAGACATAAATATCTATATAGTAATATACACAAATATGCATTTAGTTCTAACTGTTCATCACATTAAAAGTAGGATTATGTTAAACATATATGAAAATCACCCATGAGAAGCCAGTCATAATTCTTAACCACCTGTATTCATACAAGGTAAGGAATTGAATAATATTAGCCTTTAACCAGAAAGCTTCTTGAAGACAGCAAAAGTAGTACTACTGAGGCATGTCCTGTTGAGTATTCTCTGGGTACCTGATGAAGAATGCACCGTGGTCACTGCATTCACATCCAAATCCATCAGCGAGCCACAGCTGGATTCTGTCAAGGTCCCATGGACAGTCACAGGTGCAATGGTGACATGGCGCAGAGCTGCCTTCAGGGGTGTGATATGATTGTACTGGACTGAAGACAGGCAACCAACAAAACCCAGGGTGTTCGCTTTAGCAACTTCAGAGTCCAATCCAAGATTCTCTGCAACATGAAAGGCAGCTTTTTTTTTTCAAAGTATGCTCCATGTCCTCTTTGAATAATGTCTACAATTACAGAAATCACCTTATCCTTTGAATAAGGGAAATCATCTCGATCTTTATTCATCTCCTCTTTCCAAACTCTTCCCCACCCCACTACAAGTATCAGCATATCAACCACATATTATATAAAAGTGCTAGGGCCATCTCTGTTTTCAGATAATGTTTCAAACATCTAAATTTTCATTTGTGTATTTTATGAGCTGTAACAAAGACTTAACACATCTCTTCTACACTCTAGATATTTTATAGAAATTATATCATTATTTCCATCAGCACTTATCAGTGAATGCTGGTGATTATTTCAAACATATTACAATACTTGTTACAATATTTAATTCAAAAATATAAAAGGAAAAATGAAAAGAGGCAGACAGAGTGATTAGAAGTCAAAGTGGTCCTCCCAGGAGTTTATATCATGTTCGGTGTATTAAGCAGCCTACATAGACTGACCATCTATTTAAGATTTTCACCTGCTCAGTTCTGTTCATGGTATTCATTGGTGAACACAGATTTTCTTTGATAGCATTCAACCCCCCAAAGTGTCTTTGAGCCTTTTAAAAACTAAAGAGGCAATCATTTATGATTCAACGCAAGACCAATTGTCTCATTTTCTTCAAGATTTGTAGTAAGATTATTCAGTAGCCCATTTCTTTTGTTTAACAAGGATTATTTGAACAAATTGCTATGTTGCAATTATATAAACTGTAATACACAATGAGCTTTTTCTTCCCCTAAGGTGTAATAGTTTTAACATAGCTAGATGGTTCAATAGTTATTTTATTATGATAATCTGTGTATTTACTAGAAGTGGGCAGGGACAGTCCTCTCTACCAGTGTAGATTATAACTTATGTTAATTCATAAGTGGTCAAAGAGTGCCTCCATGGATCTCCAAGCAAAGATTTTGTTGAAAGCATTTGAAGAGAAGCAATAAGAATATGGAAGAAAATGAAAAATTAACATCCTTGAATAATGTCTTTTGCAGTTTTGCCCTCATTATATTCTCCCGCTTCAACACCCATGTAAACCTCACTAACGTGTCATTCTTCTTTTCTTACAAGAAAAGGGAAGGAACCACATGTACTAATTTTACCTGGCCGTTGTATCAAATTACCACAAACAAATTCAACAGCACAAATTTATTGTCTTACAGTCCTATAGAAGTCTTGGTGCTCACTGGACTAAAATCAGGGTGCTAGCAGGACTGCATTTCTTTGATAGATTCTGGGGCAGAATCCATTCCTTTGTCTTTTGTAACTCCTAAAAGCCATCCATGTTCTTTGACTTAGAGCCACCTTCCTCTATTCCCAGATCCAGCAATGCTGTGTTTTTCTGTGCCTCTCTTCCATAGTTCATCTCCTTCAAATGTAAAAGAACACTGGTGTAGGGGAGGGAACTGCTGTCTTTCATACAGTCCTATGAATATCCTTCAGTGGTGGTGCGTATTTGTTACTTACTTGTGGGTAAATCACATATGTTTACTTTTATCTCCTAAGAGACTTTTCAAATAGTGTTATGCAAGTCTTGCAGAACAAAAAGCTTTAAGACGGGGTGCTATTTGCTGAGTGGCACCAGAAACCTATGTAACCAGCTGTAATTCAGAATGCACATTAGCTACTTATTGAGACCTATCAACAGGTGAATTAGAGATCAGAATTATTTAGAGGAAGAAGCAGAAGAGAAGGGAAGTATAAACTGGCATGGCATTTTTGCATTGTAGGATTTCGAAGCACTGAAAAGTGGCATGCCATTGTAACTATGCCTTGAAGGTCTGAGCCAAAAGTGCCAGATCTCATTCCTACAGCTCAGTGAGAAAGAAGCTCATAGGGTTGCCAGGGTCTTTGGAGGTCATCTCTGTAGTGACTGCAATGGATACATGCTCAAGGTAAAATGATAGACACATAGATAAATGGGGGAGAGGCAATGCCAGAAGTTGACATTCTCTCCTTAAAGAAAGAGGTGCTTTGAATAAAGTCTTATCTCTACGAAAATGTATTTCTTCTAGCTGTATAATAAGGATGAAAACATTGTGATGTTTCTGAAGAGAAATGAAGAGGACATGAATTTCTGATGGAAGAAAATACTCTCAGTAGGAGACCTGACATAATGATTTCTCAGATTCTTACATAGATGGAGAGGCAACAACAGAAAAACATAGGATTGCTCTAACTTATTTTTGCTTCTTATAATCTTGTTAACTAACATGTGGTAGGTAGTACTTGTTTGCTAAAAAATTTGAAAGCTGTGGACAATCAATATTCACCATCTATTGAATACCTTCTATATAACTATGCAATAATTGTTTTAAAGTATTATTCCTATCCTCCTCAAAAGTGCTTCCACTTATTTTCTATTATCATCCAAAATTTACAGATGGGGCAGCTGATACACCTAAATACTAGAAGATGTACAAAAGGTCATTTGGCAAAGTCGAGATTTAAACCAAAATCTTTAAGACTTGAAATGCCCAACTCTTTATCTAAACTATGCTGCCTTCCCACAACCCTCCCAAAAAAAAACCAAAAAAAAAACCTCTCAAAAATATCCTAGATAGGGTAAGATATTTTTGCATAAAATAGCCAAGAAATAAATTGCAAGAAATAAGGAAAGCACAATAATTTTAGAATGCTCCCCCAAATTCAGTAAACTCTATTACATTAAAGACATAATGTACTCCCTAATTAATTACAGTAATACTTCAGTTTGTGATCATAGTTCATTCTGGAAATAAACTACTCGTATTGCAAGACACTGCTCGTTTCAAGTTAAAATGTATTATTAGGTTGGTGCAAAAGTAATAGCATACTGGCAAAAAACGCTATTACTTTTGCACCAACCTAATAGGAATGTGTGCTCATCTTGTGAAACACTCGCAAACCAAGTTACTTGCAACCCAAAGTTTTACTGTATATTCAGTTTTTAGGTTACAATTGCATAAGATTCATAAGGAACTAGGTGAGGGTACTATTGTTTGTACTGAGCTAAAGAGTGAATACAGAAGACAGACTTGACAATGAATGTGGCTACTCAGAAGTGGTAGAGCAAGAATGCACATAAGGTCCTGTCACTGAAAAATGCCACTATTCTGTTCCTCACTCTTCCCAAGATTTTCTGCTAACATATAAAAGTCCCAACCAATCAAGGAGAATTACAAGGTTTCTCCTGATAATATAATCCACCACCTTGAGAAAACATAGATATCTTACAAAAGAAAAAAATAACAGAAACAAAACAAAACAAAACCTAAAGAACTTTTTATTTGAAATTAATGTAATTTCTCCCTCTCAACACACTTTAAAAATCATTGAAATATAGTTTTGAATTCCCATTAGAGTTCACCGCTTGCCCTCAAACACTGATGTACAAGCAGCATGGTGTGCTGAAAAAGCATATGATGGAAGCTAGCTAGACCTGAGTTGACGATGGCCCTTGTGCATATGACTTGTATTTTCTTATTTCTGAGTTCCAGTTTTGGCCACTGTAAAACAGTGATAAATAGTACCAACCACATGAATTGTGGTGGAAATTAATAACAAAGTATGATTCTTAGCTCAGTGCCCATAAATGCACTTATTATTATTATTATTATTATTATTATTATTATTATTATTATTATTACTCTTCCTATTACTTATTCAAGGAGTTCCAAACTCCTTTACCAAGATTTAATGGCCCTTAATGTGCCCATTTTACTATTTTGCATTTATATGGGAGAACTAAGATGTAAATGCTGATGTGTTTGCTATGAAGTCTTTCCAGTAAATTTCCACTTGATATTGACTCACAACTGAATAAAAATAGTACTAAAACTTTGAATGACTCAATTGGTTATAATAGACTAACTTTTTCAAGCTGTTTAAAACTTGACTTTCTACATTAATTTGCAAATGCTCATTTCTTCAAAGCAAAGCTATGCTCTTCCATTAAACCAAGTGGATTCTGGGATGCCACTGAAAATGGCAGAGAACCAATGTGAGCTTCAGCATGTGAAACACTTCCTATGCCCACAATTGTCTGACACTAGGGAGTTATAGAGCTGATTCAGGCAGTTTCTTTTTTTTTTCTGGATATTAAAAAAGAAGAAGAAAAAATCAGAAATTTGCTAAAAACAGACATTGGTCTGGGATGTATATGACATTTACTATGTGTCAGAAGCCATCTATGGCATTTGAATCCTGAAGGATCAAGATGTAGACCACGCATGCCCACACAGCCTGGACTTTAAGGGTAAAATGTTGCACCAGCATAAAATATAAATAAAAGAAACTGTTAATGAGAGGTGTGAGCAGTATGCACAAGTAAAGAGCTGTTCCCTCCAGAGCCCATTGTGGCTTTGAGGTATGAGAGAGGCAGTCTGAAGACTTTAACTACTGGGAGTCCACAGTCCAAGAACCAAGTCCCTCAGATAAACCTTTAATCTTGAATGGGGAATGTTGACTCTATTTAAAAAAACAACAAAAACAAAACAAAAACGGCATTTACTTAAGGCCTTAATGCATTTCGTGGTATGCTCATTTCTATACCCTATGTAAATACCCATCCTCATGAAATGAGAGAGGGTGAGAAAATTGTACCCAATTACCAGTTAGGAAAACTAGGACATGAGATCAAGTACTTGTCTAAAGCAAGTTGACCAGTTTGTGGCCAAACCAGGCCTGGGACCTAGATGCCTTGGAGCCTATCCTCCTTTTTGTTTTGTTTTTCTCCTGCTATGTCATGCTTAACACCTTACTGTAGTATTGATATTGAGAGGGTGAAAAGAAACCTCATCTCTGTACCACGACTTAATAAGTCATTTACTGTCTAACTCCCACCCACTATGCAGCCCCATATGTGCTCCCACAACCTGAACTGCTTGCTCTGCCCCAATAGTCACACACTGTTCCCTCTGCCTGGAAGGGCTTCCCGTCCCTTAATGACCTGGGTAACATCTGATCTTTCT